CTGATACTTCTTACCATGATAATAAATAGGGATGCACGATATTGGATTTTTGCTGATATCCGACATGCCGATATTTTTCAACCAATTTTTTTCCGATGGTGCTGATATATTCGCTTTTGTTTGGAAACAACACCAAGTCTCTCATGTGCAGAGATTATAAACAAATTATTTTTAATTTTGGTTAGTTTTTAACAAAACAAAGCGTTGTAAAACTTCTGGAAATCTTTTAGAGCTCCTTGTATTTAAGTTTCATAATCCATTTGAAAAAAAAAAAAACATTACACATTAATGAATAAATCTTTATATATATAAAATTATTTAATTTACAAGTGTCATGTTTGTGATTTTTATTCATGTAAGCTATAGCTTCTGACCTTTGAATCAAAGCATACTCGTGATTTTATGACATCAATTACCACTTTTTTGATTAGAAACACAAACTTATTAATCAGAAACCCAATTATCTTAATGTTGTTTGTGCATTTTACTTAAAATTTTATTACAAGTAGGCCAACAGCGCCCCCTAAGTAAATAGAACGCCTTAACGGACTGGCATTAAAAGGGAGGCTGCATTAAATGCAGTGATCCAAAACAGTGAATCTAATCACCATTCAGGCAAAAGTTCGCTTCAAGAATGACCACACTGCTGACGTGATCTTATCGCTACCACACCCTGAGCACATGTGAGCTATTTGTCTTATTGGCAAGGCATATCGGCATAATTTTTCATATTGGGCCGATGCCGATGTTAACATTAAATCTTTATCAGCCGATTCCGATATCGTTCCAATAATATTGCGCATCCCTAATAACTACTAAATGAACCTCGAGACATCAAATCATTTAATTTGCTGAATGTAACTTTTAATGGGTTCAACTTTACAAACAAACGAATTCAAATAAACCCTTCAAATAAATTATTTTTATATTAAAAAGTATAAAAAAATTACTGAGACAGAATGTAAACAAAAACTAGAGGTCAAAACTCTAAAATGGTTTGACAAGTTTTGCTATTGTTAGACTGGTGCATTTCAGCTTATGGCCTTCATCCGTCATCATAAAACATACGGCAATCTTGTTTAATATGGTGACACCATATTTGTCACCCATGTCCTCTGTTGGACACTCCCATTGCTTCTTTTTCAGCCCGTGACAAATATCTTTGTAGGTGTCCCACTGGCCAATACGTGTGGATGTAAATTATTGTTGAATAAATAAATAATCATTTTTTGTTTTGCCTCACATACACAATTTGAAATTTGAAGTTTGCAGTATGTTTGAAGTTTCTGATGAAAAGCACTGCTCTATCAATACAGTTGTTTAATGTCCTACAAATTTTGCTGGAGTTTTGACCTCTTTGGAAACAGCGTAGGTATTTCTGGCACAACTTCACCTACCTCAAAAGTGAATGGAAGAGAGAAAAAAGGCTAATGTAAACAAAAACTGCCATACCAGAGAGTTGGTAATCTTCACATTATTTGCACTGCAAACTCTTTTTATAGGCTGTAATGCGGTTATATATGAAGAATTTCACGTTCTTCCAGTCACGGTACTTCAGAGCTTGTGGTTCAGCCTTTAAACACTTCTCACAGTCACTCTTTGCTGGTACAGTAAAAGATGTGATGAATCTCATCATGTGCCTTTCCACCGCCTGCACCTCGGTCTGCTGCCAGGGATTTTTCCTCCGGGTAGTTTTACCTTAAAGCAGTGAGAGAGAAAAAATTTACAGGATAAATAAAGTGCTGGAATCCCAATCCAAGCATCTATAGTGCAAGTAAAGTTTTGTGCACTCTACCTATAAATAGAGTTACACTGTCAGTCAAACACTGATTTCTACATTGTCACTTGAACTGAAATGATCATTAGGAAAAAGGAAAAGATAATTAGATCAATTTCTTGGTTAGAAGCAGACATACACCTTTTACACATTTATGAAAATAGTTTCAAACTAAACTTTCAGGAAGAAACAACAGTATTTAAAAACATTTTGGATTCATAACATTAATCTATCATGTTATCATACTATCTAGTACAAAAAAAATAGAATTATATAAGACATAGCTTTGGTAATTGTTTCAAATGACAGTAAAGCTACTTGAAGTTGAGCTGCTTCTACAGTATGAGTAATGTAGTGAAGTGAGTGACATGTGGCCAAGTATGGTGACCCATACTCGGAATTAGTGCTCTGCATTTATCCCATCCAAAGTACACACACACAGCAGTGAACACACACACACTGTGAACACACACCCGGAGCAAGTTATTACTATGCATCTATTCCCTCAATAAACTGCTCCAGGGGTTAGTTATTGTTAATGATTCAATTATTAAAACAGCTAAAACTACTAGTCCCATTTAGTAGATTCTAGCAACAACCAAGTAACCTTAACAACTACAGATGGGATTCTGAGCTTTGTACTCTTGAACAAAATCAGCATTTAGTGATCTAGGACCACATGTATAAAAATTTGCATAGACTTCATCATTAAAATCAGATTTTGTTCTAGGGATGTCAATCCCATAATCAATTGTCACTTAAATTAGTCATCAATTAATCGTTACCCTTAATACTGCAAGAAGCATCTACTACAGTGGTATATAGTCTTTGGCATCACAGGATGTGCAAATACCACTCAAAACGTCAGTTTCTTCATCCGAATGAAACGTTTAAATACGTCTAAATAAAAGGATTCATTTGATTAAACGAAACGAGGACATTTGGTATCATTTTACATTTAAGGGAGGTTATTGTTGGCTGTTTCACAGAGACCTCTGAAAGCGCTGTTTTCAAATGGTATCATGATGCTCATTGTAGTATTGTATTTTAAAACACAATCACAAAATTTGCAATTAACATTATCGCCATTTAAAGTAAAAATGATCCCAAACGTAACTATGACACATAAGGCTGTGCCTGTGTTGGTATTTGGATTCATGCAGAATGAGAGAAGTATGTGAGGCCATAAATTTGAATTAAGACATATGCGGCTTTGTGTTCTGTTTTGCGGGCTGGTCACTCAAATTTCCACAAATGTAACCACTTCATGAGGTAATTCCACTGGATATGGAAGCTTGTTTCTTCTCCCAAATCCTCACTGTCTCTATTTTCAAAGGGGATTATAAAAGTTTTTTTCTTCCTGTTATTCACTTTTAATCCCTTACTTTGCATCTTTTACAGTGGTAAAAAAATGCTGGTTCTCAATTCCAGTCCTCACGTACCACTGCTCTGCATATTTTGCATGTCTCACCTGATTCAGATAACCAGCACATTAGAAGAGAGCTCCATGCATGAACGGTGTTCTGATTGACAGGGTCCCTACACAGTGTTCTTTGCTCCCTGAGCATGGGAAATCTGTTGAAGTTTACTTCACTTCGGAACATTCATTCACGGATTTGTGCTATACCACGACTTGCAGCATCTTCACACACAGATGAAACTTACTAGAGAAGTGTGAAGTGTGACATAATATACCTCTGTAAATAAATACAATTTAAATTCACGTCTCGCACACTTTAATGCCCTTTGAATGGAACATATACACTCCCTTCGAACTAGAATCATGGCGGATTATCCTGCGAATAGAAAAAAAACGTCTGAAGTGATAAATACATAAAAAAAAAAAAAGTGCATAGCGGTGGTACACGAGGACTGCAACTGAGAACCACTACTGTAGACAATGTACATTTTTACTTGCCAAAACAACAGATAGCATTGTTAGCATAACTAACCTGATTATTTAGTAGAAATATCACATGAGTTTGTCTTTATCTGCCTTCACATTCAATTTTAAAACAGTTTGTGCTTGTCAGACAAGGTAAGGCACGTTTATTTGTATAGTATGGTACCGTGGACTTGACATGCAGGGGATAAAATGAAAGATTATGGCCACAAATTAAGAATCGTCCCTACAATCGTCCCTATTAATTAATCTGTAGTCAATCCGCAAAAGGCTAGAGGACAACCAGAAGCCCACAAATTGTGATCAATTCCATACACTAAGGCAGTGGTTCCCAATCCTGGTCCTGGAGAACCCCCAACACTGCACATTAGAGATGTCTACCTATTCAAACACACCTGATTCAACTCATCAGCTCATTAGTGAAGACTCCAAAAACTCAAATGTGAGTGTCAGATAAGAGAGACACCAAAAACGTGCAGTGTTGGGGGTTCTCCAGGACCAGGATTGGGAACCACTGCACTAAGGCAAGAATGGATTGCCATCAGTCAGGATTTGACCCACCCAGTTTGATCACCCAAAGAGGCTGCGAGTGTCTGTCATTATACCGCCTATGTTGTTAAAGCATCATAGTCAGTGTCATTATTGATCAATATTCACATGAAAAGGTTTTGTTTTTCTTCTATTCAGAACACAATTTAAAGCAGAATTATCAGGAGCCAAGCAATTCTCCTTCTGTCATTAAAATATTAAAAAATAGCATTCCACTGGACAAGTATTTCTATTTAAATTCATAAATATTTGTATAACTACTGGACAATAATTTAACAATATGAGTGCTTCATTCCATTAATGAGAGTGGCATATTTAAAATAAATACATATCAATTGGAAAACAGGTTAAAATAATTTTGTTTATTTAACTCGCAACAGTTAATGAGTGTGTACGCATGCTATAGAGTGTGCACGGACAGGGAGCACATATTTACGCTACGTTTATTTTTATAAATCCCAATATGTGCATGGAAAAATCACGTATGCATATTTCAATGGCCATTTCAGTTTGGTGTGCTGTCCGAGGAGAGGACTCCGAGCTCAGAATATGTCTATGAACCTAGAGTACTCCCCCATATCTCAGGTTGGGACAGAAATAGTCAAGAGTGAGGAGTTGGGGTGGTGGAGGGATACTGGAAAACTGCCATAGGGACAGAGGTGACCTGGCTATATATAATAGGTCTCCTCTCATGCTAAGTGGGTAGATTGTCTAAACATGCTCCTTTGTTAAATAAACAATTTTGTGACTATGCAATGTTTATACATCAGGCCCCTGGTCTGAGGCATGGATGTTTAACTAGTTGGACGCTTTTGCTTGGAAATTAGTAATATTCCTGGAATGGGCTATACCTGCTACTGCAACATTTGGCCATTTCTAGTTTAATTTGTACACTGGCAGTACATCTCCAAAAAGCAGCAGACATAATCATTACTGACATAAAAAATGTGTAGAGAGTTCACCTTTAAAAGACGTCCTCAAAGCACTGGCTCCTGAAGGAACCTTTTCATCTGGTGATGGTGGTTTATGTCTTTTGGGTGGTGGTGGCATTTCATTCCTCTCAGCAGGAGGAAGTGTCTCCTCTGCTTTTGGTTCTATGGAAAATTATCATAAATGATCAAACATGATCATAATTTAACATTTTCAGAAATATACTTTACATGTACTATAGAAGGCAGACAATACACAACTTAAAGGGTTAGTTCACCCAAAAATGAAAATTAGCCCATAAATTACTCATCCTCAAGTCATCCTAGGTGTATATGACTTTCTTCTTTCAGACGAATCCAGTCGGGAGTTATATTAAAAATTGTCTATGATCTTTCAAGCTGTTTAATGGCAGTCAGCAGGTGTTGCATGCATCAGTCCAAAAGAAGTGAAATAAAAAGCGCCCATCCTTAATAAATAGTGTCTCACACAGCCCCGGGGGGTGAACAAAGTCCTCCTGTAGCGAATCGATGCGTTTTTGTACGAAAAATAACCATATTTAAAACGTAATAATCACTTTAATCTAGCTTGCGCTCACTGTTGTACACGGAAGCAGCTCAGGGCTGATGACGTATGAGGCCGGCTTTGTGCATGCACCGCTCAGAAGTGACGAACACGGAAGCGCAGGGGAGAGATCAAAACAAAACTACGGTCACTTATTAGAAGTACAAAACGAGGATTTGTAAATTTTCTATATAAGCCAAGAGGAGACTGGTTTTCCTTTGCTAAAGTAAGGACAATTTGCTTCCTCTGCTCCTGTTAACAAACGTTGGTTTTCACGAGACTCACCGGCGCATGCACAATGCTGAACTCATACACACCACAATAAATAAGCCTACAATAAAATGTGATAAATTCTAGTAAAGGTGGTCATGTTTAAAAAGATTTTAATATGTTAGTGCTGGTGCAAGATTATGTTTTCTCCTTTTTTCTATGGGCTAATTTTCATTTTTGGGTGAACTAACCCTTTAAGTTATTTGTAGTACTAATGGTTTTAAACTATAATTAGTGCATAAACATGCAATAAACCATTAAGTGTGCATTTCTGTTTATCATTGCAAGTATAACTGAACCACATATTATTCAACTAATGAATGGGGAATCTTTTACGTTAACTTTATTTTCTATTGACTAATATTGCTGATAATTATAATAGTACAACCAAATGCTGCCACAAAGAATCAAGTGCTCATGAAGTTTACTTGTAACTGTGTAGCCTGCTCAGGTAAAAAACACCACACTAAAAGTAGGACTGTCCTGGAATTATGGAACACAGTGATAAAAGTAATGATAAATTAATAAATGTACACCATGAATAATTTGTTTACATCATTGTAGCTTTCAAGTCCTATTCAGTAAGTCCAAATGCACATTCTATGAACAGTCGTCAACACACTGTGATAATATTTCTGCCCCTGCACATGACGTTGGAGCAATGTATTTGCAGTCATGTCTCATGCCTCTGCATGACTGAAAACTATGAATAAAGACTGAACAAAAAACTGAAAACTGTAGTATTTTGACAGTAATACAAACCATAAACAGTAGATGAACAGTGTCCCTCCTGTATGCTCCTGTCTTCATCACTTTCCAGGACTTTTTCTGTGGAGGCCAAACAAAGTACAGCTTAATGTGATTTAACAAAAAGGAATATATGGTAAACACAGAACAAGCAAGCAAACAAACAAAAAATCTAATATAACACACCATCAGGATCTATCACAATTTCATCCAAGTTCTTGCCATGGAACTCAGATAATCTTCCTTGTTCGAGAGCCATTAGGACTTTGCAGATTTTGGCAAGTTGCAGGGTCTTCTCAGGGAGTCGACAGAACTCATGATGGATTTTTAAGTGGTGTCCAAGAAAGTTTGCCAGCTGGTCCATCTCTGCGCCTGTCATATTCAGCACTGTTGAAAGGATTGCAACATGCTTTCGCAGTCTGGTAGATGTCAGCGACTTGGGACACTTTGCACCACACGCCTTTGCAAAGCCACGGAGGCAGTCTGACCCTCGGAAATGTGTCATGGCTTCTGGTCTTGCAAACATATAAGCATTGTCTTTTAGAACCCCACAAGGCTCTCTCTTCTTAACAAGGAGTTCTAAGGCATGCAGCATTTTTGGAGTCAGAAGAACTGGAACTGGTCGACCATGCTTTCCCCTGATGATAATCCTTGAGAAGTGTCTGCAGAGTTTTTTTTCTACTTCGGAGAGTGCCCAGTCCACATCCTCATGCGGATCAGAAGTGTCTCTTGACAAAAACGCAGACAAAGGCATGCTCGCCACCTCTCCTCCCCTGTGCCGGTTAAAGATAATTATCTGGGCTAGACAAACCTTTGCAAGCTCCATCCAGGCTTTAGTAAAGGAACTTTCAGAGAGTGATTTGTACCACTCGTCTTGCACTTGACTGAGATATGTATGCATTTTTTGGACATCTTCAGTAAAGGGCATGAGAGTGGGCACATTCCACTTTGCTTCCCTGATATTCCTCAATGCTGTAGCTAAGATCATCTCATTCCACTTTTCCTGATGGACGTCTTGAAACTCACTAGCATTCTTCACAAGCTGTTTGTTGTTTGAGATTAAGCCCTGAGCTTTTAAGAGTTTGCTTACTTTAACCAGGGAACTACCAAGCTTCTTTGCAAGTGATGGAATCATGAACTTGTCAGACTCATACCCACATGTATACTTGACAGCTTTGACAGTCTCCATGTACTTCTTTGGATTTACACAATCTTCCATTGTTTTTAAGGAGGTGACTTTCCTAGCATTGTGAACCAACCTTCCCAATTCTCGCATCTTCTCTCGCACACACTGTTTATTCTTGGCTGATAGTCCACCTATGTTTAACATGTGCTGACCAATATCAATAATTACTTTGTCATTTTTTATTATATCTGTGATTGGGTCAGGATGCATGACACTAATTACTTCCCATAGTTGTTTAGTCATGTTTGAAGGCACAGGCCCTGTGTACATACACATGGACTGAACACGTTTTTTTCCTGGTTTGAGGGGGACCGACTGAGGTTGAAGCCTACAAGTACGCATATGTCGCCACAGGACCTTTCTTGTAAAAAGTCCTTGACAGTATGCACAATGCATGAAATCTTTTCCCTGCGCTTCTTTGGGTGGTCGTTTAAATGGCACTAGTTCCCCCTTTCCTGATTCCATAACAGCAGCATTGTGAGCATAGTTTCCTCTGTTGCGAATATAATCTAGCTGTTTTTTTCTCTCCTTGGAACTCTTTAGAAAGCTTAGCGCTTTAGCCACATCAGATTCATGTGCATGTGAACTTTCTAGATGCCTTGCCATCTTGGCATAAGGCTTACAGCAATATAAGCAGTAATGTCTCTTGTTGTAGACTCTACTAACACCTCTTTTTTGGTATGCACTAACAACTACGCCATCTATTGCATTCTGACTTGAGCATGGTTCTTCTGTTCCAGATGCTCCAGATGCAAGGCTGTGCATTTTATCTGGTGTTGCTGTGTCACAGTCAAGGGAACTCAGTGAGCCAGATTCATCAACATCCAGGTCATCATAGAGAAGCTGAAGTTTTGTCTGGTTTGGTATAAGATTAGCATCACCATCACAGTCACTTTCAGAAGTGGTATCTGTAAAGTAATAGTCTGAACTCTCTGGTGTAGAATCAAAGAGTTCATCCGAATCTTGAAGATCTTCATCTTTCATCTAAAAAGATGATTAGAAATGTCAATTAATTAATTGATCAGTACATTTACAGACATAAATTGGTAACTATTGTGATAATTAATTGTTCAGGTACATTAATTAAAATTGGATTACATAATTTTGGGCTTAAATAAAGGTGATGCAAAACTGTTGAAGGTGATGGTCTTTGATCTTTTGTAGTCCAAATTATTTATCACCTAAGAATACTGTATATTAATATTTTATAATTATATACATCATAATGATTATATAATATTATTATATAATTATAACCATAAGTATAACATTTTATATTATGGTATTTGAAATGTAAAAATGAAGTTGACTAGAGTTTAGAGAAAAAAAAACAAATTTGTTCTTAAACTTAAATATGCTTAAAAAAAACACTAAAACATGACCATGAGAGACAGTAGACTTCTAAATCTTAAGTGATAAATGTGAACGTACCTGTTGAGGAGAATTGTTTTGACCAGTAGTATCATTCATCTGAGTCTTTGACTGGAGGGAAGGATCAGAATCGCCGTCTTCCCTGGTATTAGCAGCTGTGCTGGTCGTCTGTAAAAGACAATGGGGAAACACAAGAGATAAATCTTATGTAGATGCTGCATGACTTCAGAATAAAAAAGAAAAATCGAATTCATTTTAAAACGTTTGTTCCTGTCCAGTTAAACTCTGTCTGCGCTCACACATCTTGAATCAAACAGGGTTTCACACACAACGTTATAGTACAGTTTCGTCAATTCAACACACAAGTTTGTACTCAAACAATGACTAAAAGTGTGCCGTGGGGACGTTGTGAGTGTCCATTATAAAGAAACAATTAAACAAGAAAAAATTCGCTGTGAAAGATAAAAATGGCCCTAAATACTAGACTACCACTAACAGGTTGCAAAGATACAAGCTATTCTGAACACAGTGTGCTGTGCAACATACTTGTGTTCTCCAGGGGTAATCATCTTCTCCATAGTCATAGGTAATTTCTTCTGCTTCTTTTATGTCATTCAGGGCAAACAAACAAAGGTGTGGCTTTCCATTCACATCAATTTTCTTCATCTTAGAGTTTGGATGTCTGTGGTCATCATTAACTATCCGCCCAAATGATCCATCTTCTCTAGAGGCATCAATACTTAAAAAATATAAAAACAAAAGAAAAGGATAAATACAAGTATTACAATATACCACCACAAATCAGTGCCTCATTTACTATAATACATCATAAGAAATATAGCTTTGGTGCAACTTGACTTCTTACCACCATGATTTCCCTCTCCACTTGAACTCAAACATAAATGCAGCACTGGATGCGTGGTAACGTTTTCTTCTTCTCTGCAATTCTGCATCACTTATTATATCTCCCCTATATTCAACAACAAAATCACCTTTGCAAATGGAACCCTTTGCGAACAGACCACGTCCTGCAAAATACAGCAAAAACATAAAAAAAAAACAGGAAAGCCTATTGGTTCAAACATTATCAATTGTGACCCTGGACCACAAAACCAGTCTTAAGTCGCTGGGGTATATACTGAACATATGACAGTAATTACAAATCACACCAGACACCACCTTACCTTTCACTGCATTGATATACTTCACCTCTATTAGCTTTCAGAAGATGTATAAATCTCAATTTTGAGAAATTGACCCTTATGACTAGTTTTGTGGTCCAGGGTCACAATTAGTAAAAAACATCTTGCAGTAAAGGATGCCATTTATACACACAAAAAAACGTAGGTAGCAAAAAGTTGGTAGCTGATTTAAAATATGCTGCAACCAGGTGCTTATACTGAACATATGACAGTAATTACAAATCACACCAGACACCACCTTACCTTTCACTGCATTGATATACTTCACCTCTAATTTGAATGTTTTGTCAGTCTTTGAAACAACATGATGCATGGCATCCTTAAGGGAGCTGATTAGTGGTGACTGAAAGAAAAAAAAAAGTGTGAAATAAATGACACTGTGAAAATGGGGAGACATGCAGAAGCAAAGTAGCAAACTAAATATGCCGATAATGTGGCAGTAATGTAACACTGTATTGCTTTATTTTAATGTAACATTAAAGGGGACATTGGATTAAATTCACTCATTCACACATTAAATTCAGCTTTTTTGCATTTAGTTAGGTTTCTGGCATGTCTGCCAGCTCAGAAAATCTGAAAAGAAAACACACAGCCAGTTTGTTATGGGCTGTCTATGTCTGAAACGGTGTCATCCAGCAAGCTATTTCAATTTGCAGCTGGTTTCTACATAGATAGCTAGCTATTTGAATAAGACCACCTCCGAGTAATATATACAGATATATTTATGTGTCTTGTGTTGACAAGCCCCACGGAAGAGGGGGGTGGGGTGAGCAGTAGCTCATTATCATTTAAAGAGACATGCACAAAAATGAGACGAAGTAAACAGAGCGGTTTAAAATAGGTGTTGTTTTACACAACCATTGACTTTTCATGATGAATACCCTAAAAAATTCATACCAACTTGTGGAAAATGGGCATCCGATGTCCCCTTTAATTATACTGTAATCAATGTATTGATGTAACAAAAGAAATCAGAACTAAGGCTTAGTTAAATATCTGGAACAATGCTAGCCTTGAGGGCATCGAGTCACTATTTTCATTTAGCCTGTGATCTCTCACAAAATCTGTCAAAAATCTAAATCTAGCTTTAGGCAATTATTTCATATTTAACTACTGATTTAGACTTTAACCCAACTACTCTATTGGACAATCTCACCATACAAACCCCTGTTCATTTTAACTACTATTTTAACTTAGTTTTAATCATAAGTTTAATCATTTTGTCATTCAAAGCTACTTACCATTTCAAATTTTTTTTTTATTGTACTTAATTTCTCTGTGAATCACTTTGGTCAAAATCTGTGGCTTGCATATGTTCTCTATAAATTCACTTAAAAGTAAAAACAAATATCAATCTTTAATTCTTCATATCAAAATTAAAAATCAAACACTATAAACACAAGCCCCGCATCAAGTGCGATTATCCCCACCCCCCTCCGAAAAAATATATATTTATTTTATATAAAATAACCCACCCCTGCCCAAATGCTAACTAAACACACACACACACACAAAATAGACTAATAACTAATTGATTAACGGAATTGCTTCATTAGCAATTAGTCAGGCTAAAGATTTGTTGAGACATTTCAGTTAAAATTAGGTCCTAAACATACCTAATTGTATTGATTATGTGATCGCTAGTTGGAAAAACATAGAAACATTTCAGGCCGCATTTAACCTCAACAGTTAATTAGTGCTAACAAGCTACCTGTTTAGATCAAATTAACCTAATTGGTTTGATACATATGTGCTTACCTTGTGTTTCACTTTTTATCCTCTGCACAAGTTCTTAGATCCTTAGTTGGCATCTCCTGCAAATAATCTTCTTCCTTGTTCTCCGTGTAGTGTCAATTTAACACTTACATTTTGCTGCTGAAAACCTTCCTAACGAGGACTAGGAAGTGAGTTGTACCCAACCATATTTGGAATATATGTGTGCGTGTGTGGAGAAGTGAGTGCATTACAAGCCAGAAATATTTGGGGGTAGAACTGAGCACCCCCTACACACACACACACTGATAAACGTGTTATATGGACCAATGTTAAAACTTCACCAGCAACACAATAGTTTCTCTATTCATTTAAATGGGCTTCCCTTAGGGGGACCTGATTTTTGGTCAAGAGGTCCCCATAATGAGACTGCGTAAACAGATTTGTCCCCACACTGTGATGATTACCAGAACACACAAACACACACACACTTGCAAACACACAAAACCTGGAGTAAGGTGCTGAAATCTTACCATGTCTGATTCCCAGTCCTCATTTGTGTTTGTAGATCTTTCCTCTGTCCAGTCCTCCGTCTATGGTTGGAGACAACAATCAAACTACATAAAACTACATTCAGATGATCACTTCTGTGAAATATGTCATTAGGAGGTTCAAAAGACCTGTACGGTTTGGCTCTGCGTTTCGCTGCTGGGGATAAAAGTGCTGCAAGTCAGCGCTTCAGCATACTGATTTAATACTGCTGGGACGCTGCTCTCAGTGGACCAGGGCCCGGCTGATAGGCTCCATGGGGAAGGATCCGGCGGAATCACTGCAGAAACGGGATCCCTGTCAAGAGAACGAGAACAGCCGTGTTGCTGAATCATTTTAATAAGAAACACTTTAAAATTCTACCTTAAGCCGTTTTGTACTTACTGAAGTAAGTCTTCATCTAAAGCCGAACTCCACTCGGTGTGTTTTTCACTTTCCATTGACAGACACTCAGCGACAAAAGACTCTGGATTTGATCGATTGTTGAGATTTAAAACCTAAGCGGCAGTATTTTCATGAACGCGTCTTAATATATAAGTTACCGACGATACACTGGTTTTAAATCATTTGCTCAGTGAAATATGAGCGCCAAAAACAGAGTTACCAAAAGACCTACACTAAACATTTAAGAGTTGGTCTTGATGGCCAAATGACTTACAGTATACTCCGTGTATACAGTATGTATTCTAAATAAACTAAATGAATAATGATCTTTTTTTTGTTTGTTTTTTACAAAACGAAAAGCACTTCCGGGACGTCACATGCGTCTTCTTTTTCTTCTTCTTTTAGCGTTTTATGGCGCTTGGAAAACAAACGATAGGTGCATTCCTGCCACCTACAGGGCTGGAATTTGGAACATTTACGAAATCTGTGAACCTCTCAATCCTATTAAATAGACCGACAATTCCTAAATATCTTAATGTATTATATTTTTTTATGATGATTCAATCCATTATAGGCTACAGCAGTGTTTTAAGTGTAAAATTTCCTATCCCCATTTCTCTTAAAGGGGTCATATGATGCTGCTAAAAAGAACATTATTTTGTGTATGTGGTCTAATGAAATGTGTTTATGTGGTTTAAGGTTAAAAACACATTATTTTCCACATACTGTACATTATTGTTTCTCCTCTATGCCCCGCCTTTCTGAAACGCGTCGATTTTTACAAAGCTCATCGGTCTGAAAAAGCGAGGTGTTCTTTGTTGTAGTTTATATTTGTTCAGTACCTTTATATTATATGTTGGAAATCAATAAAAAAAAAAATTATAATAAAATAAACACAATAAACACACGATTGCAACAATAAAAAAAAGAAAAGAAAAAGAAAAGAAAAGAAAAGCGAGGTGTGCTGTGATTGGCCAGCTATCCAGTGCATTGTGATTGGCCGAATACCTCAAGCGTGTGACGGAAATGTTACGCCCCTTACCATATTGTGATGCCCTG